GGATGGATGGATGGATGGATGGATGGATGGATGGATGGATGGATGGAATGGGGCGTAAGAATGAGAGATGGAGGGATGGGATTGGAGACGGATAGACAGATAAACGGACGGATGGATGGATGGGTGGGATGGGGTGGAAAAAGGATAAGAGATGGATGGATGAATGGATGGATGGGATGGGGTGGAAGAAAGGATGAGAACAGCAGTATAGCAGTAACAGTAACATAACAGCATTGAGTTTTCTGGGAGGTTCAAATGAGATCTGCAAATAAATGATTTAGTAGAGTCTCTGGTCCGTTGCAAACACTCAATACATATCCACTGCTCTTATTAACCCTATTTCCCAGATTGGAAAACCAAGACTCAAGAGGGTAGAATGATCTGTTCAAGGTGACAGGAATAGCAAAAGGCAACATTGGTCTTCCTGCTGCACCGCCATGTCCTTTCGCAAAGACAGAGAGAAATGTCTGCTCCCACTGTAGAAAAAGAGATGATTTTATAATAAACAGTGGCTAACAATAGCAATAAAATAGACTAAAAGTAGCCACCACCATCTGTTTTTAGCATTGACATAGTCCATGCCCTCTCTTGTTGGATTCCCATAACAACCTGTAAAATTGCAATACATATGTCCATTTTGCAGAAGAGAAAACTGAAGCTGAGAAAGGTGGGCCATCTTGTGCGAAGTCTTAGAGGAAGGCTCCTCTGACTCAGTTTCCCCTCCTGCTCCAGGCTCCCTGGAGGCTGCCCACATGTGCAGCTCAGCCCCCCTGGCCTCATGGCGGGCAGATTGAGTTCCGGGACTTTGGGCTAAGATACCGACCTGAGCTCCCGCTGGCTGTGCAGGGCGTGTCCTTCAAGATCCACGCAGGAGAGAAGGTGAGTGGTTCTCTCACAATGTCCTCTTCACAGAGTTCAGGCCAAAGGACTCCAGGGGCAAGGCCCTAAACCCTGGGCACCAGCTACCTTCACAATGTCCGCACCTCAGGTCCCCTAGCTTTCAGACCCATTATCCCCTAAAACGAACTCCTCGCCTTCCCCAAACCTGCTTCCGTCTGGTGACTGCCTCATCCACCGTGGTGTCCCCAGATGAGGAAGCAACTCCCTGACTTCCTTCTTCCTTTAATGTTAACCCAGCTCCTAATATGTGCTGGGCAGTGTGTTAAATGCTCCAAGTACATTTTCCAGTTTGCACAAATGGGGTATTTGCTTTGGGGTGGGAGACGCTGGGAAAAGCACTTCATAGCTCAGTCTCAGTTTTCCCATCTGTAAACTGGGACTGGTAATACTGATCTTTGAGTTGTTATGAAGTTTAATACATAGAACATGCTTAGCTCATGGCAAGTGCTCCAGACATGTTTACTAATGCTTTTATTATTTGCATTTTCACTCTCACAACCACACCATAAGGGAGGTGCTAGTACTATCCCATTTTACAGATGCCTCATCAAGCCCCTTCACTGATCCCTTTCCTCCCTCTCTGAACCTACAGAGGCTTCCTCCCTGTCCCCTCCTTGTCCCCTAATAAACAGTGGATCCTGTCTCACCAGCTCCAATCAGCTCTCCTGTGTGTGAGATATATATATATAATTTTTTTTTTTTTTTAAGACAGAGTCTCACTCTGTTGCCCAGGCTGGAGTGCAGTGGTATGATCTTAGCTCACTGCAAACTCCGCCTCCCAGATTCAAGCGATTCTCCTGCCTCAGCCTCCTGAGTAGCTGGGATTACAGGTGCGCACCACTATACCTGGCTAATTTTTGTATTTTTAGTAGAGACAGGGTTTCACCATGTTGGCCAGGCTGGTCTCAAACTCCTGACCTCAATCACCCCCCTCAGCCTTCCAAAGTGCTGAGACTACAGGCATGAACCACCGTGCCCAGCCATCCTGACCTTTATCAGCATGAATGACACTGCATGTCATTCCCCTGCTCAAAACCTCCTACGAGTTCCAGCTTCCCTTGGGGTAAAGTCTGAATTCCGGAGCCTGGCATTCAAGGCTCTGCCCACCCCAGGCCCTGCCCATCCCCCCCATCACTCATTGCTCTGCCAGGGCTTAAACAACATTGTGGAGCAGCTGCCTCTTGGCCAGGGGGACACATGGTGCTGTGAGCTCCATGAGCTTCCAGTTCTGGAAACCCACTTAGTGCGGTTCGCCTGGAGTGTTCCCCTTCCTTGAACTCCTATTCATCCTTCAAGCTTCCATCCAAGTATCCCTTCCTCCATGAGGTCTTCTCTTATTACCTCTATCAAATCCCAGGCAGCAGGAGCAGCACCACCTTGCTTCCCTGAATTGCCAGAGGTCCAGAGCTGATAACAAACAGCATTGTTGGCTGGGTGCCATGGCTTATACCTGTAATTCCAGCACTTTGGGAGGCCAAGGTGGGTGGATCACCTGAGGTCAGGAGTTTGAGACCAGCCTGGCCAACATGGTGTAAACACCGTCTCTACTAAAAATACAAAAATTAGCCGAGCATAGTAGCAGGCACCTATAGTCTGAAGCAGGACAACTGCTTGACCCTGGGAGGTGGAGGTTGCAGTGAACCGAAATCGCACCACTGAACTCCAGCCTGGGTGACAGAGCAAGACTCTATCTCAAAAATAAGTAAATAAATAAAATAAATAGCATTGTTCATCACACTGTATTACATTTACTCAACTGCACTCTTTCCTAGACCAGATGGTGGGCACACTGGAGCAAGGACTCTGTAATTTCTATACTTCCAGGGCCTAAACATGCGCCTGGCATACAGTGAGGTGACCCACATGTTTCATTCATGAATTAAGCAAATAATGTTGAACTCACAGCATGTGTCAGACACTGAGGATGCAACAGTAGCGAGAGAGAGAGGGATGGAGGGTGGATAACAGAATGGGAGATAGATAAGAGAATGAACACATGGATAGGATGGAGGATGAATGGAGGGATGGATGAGGGAAGGAGGGACTGGATGGATGGATGGGAGAAAAAATAATGAATGAACGGATTAGTGAATTGATGGATGAATAGGGAAGAAGAAATGAGAGATGGATAGACAGATGAATGGATGGATGAATGGAATGGGATGGAAGAATGAGAGATGGAGGGATGGGATTGAGGAGGGATGATGGATGGATGGATGGATGGATGGGTGGGTGGGTGGATGGGGGAATGGGGTGGAAAAAAGGATAAGAGATGGATGGATGGAGGGATGGACAGAGAGATGGACGGGATGCAGTGGAAGAAAGGACAAGAGATGATGGAGAGGTGTAAATAGAAGGATGAGGAAAGATGGAGGAACAGAAGGAAGGGCGGGGAGAAAGATGGGAGAGAGACATCGGGATAAGGGGAAGATAGAGAAGAACGCTGATGGAAGACTGGATGGACTGATGGGTGGATATATAGAAAGGTAGACAGATGAAAAGATAGAGAGATGGAAGGTGGACCTTTACACAATGAGGGATGGACAGACAGATCTCGGGTACAGTGGAAACATCTCCCCAATAAATGCCCAGGAGCCCTCTGGTCAGAGCAGGCCTTTCCTCCCAACCCCGGGCAGGTGGGCATCGTTGGCAAGACAGGGGCCGGGAAGTCCTCCCTGGCCAGTGGGCTGCTGCGGCTCCAGGAGGCAGCTGAGGGCGGGATCTGGATCGACGGGGTCCCCATTGCCCACGTGGGGCTGCACACACTGCGCTCCAGGATCAGCATCATCCCCCAGGTGAGGATGGTGGAGGGGGTGGGCAGAGGTGGGAGGCATGGTGGGGCCCTGCTCTGACCCACCGTCCCTCCCCCCCAGGACCCCATCCTGTTCCCTGGCTCTCTACGGATGAACCTTGACCTGCTGCAGGAGCACTCGGACGAGGCTATCTGGGCAGCCCTGGAGACTGTGCAGCTGAAAGCCTTGGTGGCCAGCCTGCCCGGCCAGCTGCAGTACAAGTGTGCCGACCGAGGCGAGGACCTGAGGTATGGTCATCCCACTGTGGCCGGGACCTGCAGGTGGGAGAGGAAGGGATGGCCATGCCCTCCCCAAGTGCCCTCAGGAAATGCCTTCCCCAGTAGGATTATCACTCTGTTATATTAATAACCACATGTGTCTTACCGGCAATTTCAAGCTCTGACACCGTCTCTGAATACTAAGATTTCCCCCCCCCCAAATTAAATTAGCCTTCTATATTTATTTGGTGGCAAAACCCAACCTCAACTGACACAGGGCTACTGATAGCCTTTATTACTCTTGCTCAGTATTTATTTTGCTCTGAAAATATTGTTTGATAGTGGGTGGTAACCCCACCACTCACTGGGGCTTTAAGTAACAGGATTTTTTTTTTTTTTTTTTTTTTTTTTTTTTTGGTAAATGTGAAGTGTGGGCTGGGTGCAGTGACTCATGCCTGTAATCCCAGCACTTTGGGAGGCTGAGGGAGTCCAGGAGTTCGAGACTAGTCTGGGCAACATAGCAAGAGCTTATCTCTATGGAACACAGTATTAGCCGGGTATGGTGGTACGCGCCTGTAGTCCTAGTTACTTGGGAGGCTGAGATGGGAGGAAAGCCTGAGCCAGGGAGGTGAAGGCTGCAGTGAGCCGATATTGCGTCTCTGCACTCCAGCCTGGGCTCCATCTCAACAACAAAAAGTTGTGTGGAAAAATACACACAAAATTTACTATCTCAAACTTTTTTTTTTTTTTTGGAGACAGGATCTGGCTTTGTCATCCAGGCTGGAGTGCAGTGGTGAGGTCTCAGCTCACTGCAACCTCCACCTCCCAGGCTCAAGCATTCCTCCCACCTCAGCCTCCCGAGTAGCTGGGATTACAGGTGTGAGCCGCCACGGCCAGCTAATCTTTTTATTTTTTGTAGAGACAGGGTTTCACCATGTTGCCCAGGCTGCACTTGAACTTGCACAGGCCTCCCAAAGTGCTGGGACTACAGGTGTGGGCTGCCACGCTGGGCCCATCTCACTCATTTTTCAGTGTATAGTTTCTATAGTGTTAGGTACATTCACACTGTTACGTAACAAAACTAAAACTCTGTTCCCATGCAACCCTAACCCTCCTTGTCCCCCTCCCCCAGCCCCTGGTCACCAGCATTCTCCTTTCTGTCTCTGTGAGTGTGACTACTCTAGACCCTGCATAGAAGCAGAATCACAGTAGCTGTCCTTTTGTGACTGGCTTATTTCACAGAGCATGATGTCCTCAAGGTTCATCCGCATTGTAGCATGTGTCAGATTCTCTACCTTTTTAAGGCTAACTTTCCACCCCATGGACAGACCACGTTTTGCTTATCCATTTATCTGCCAGTAGATATCCAGGCTGTTTCCACCTCTTGGCCATTTTGAATAATGCCACTATGAACATAGGTGTACAGGTACATGCCTTTTAAAAAAACAAGGTAGCCGGGCACGGTGGCTCACACCTGTAATCCCAGCACTATGGGAAGCCGAGGCGGGTGGGTCACCTGAGGTCAGGAGTTCGAGACCAGCCTGACCACTATGGTGAAGCCCCGTCTCTACTAAAAATACAAAAATTAGCCAGGTGTGGTGGTGCATGCCTGTAATCCCAGGTACTCGGGAGGCTGAGACACCGAGAATTGCTTGAACCGGGAAGGCAGAAATTGCAGTGAGCTGAGATGGTGCTACAGAAGTCCAGCTTGGGTGACAGAGCAAGACTCTGTCTCAAAACCCCCCAAAAAACAAAACCAAACCAAGGTGTTCTGGGTTTATAAACCCCTCTGACTCTGAGGGTGTCAGAAGTGCTTGTGGTAGCAAATAATCTCAAGCACTAGAAAAGCAGCATTCCTTGGTGGGTGAGAGTATACACAGCTGACAGACTGCCTGGGCTCAAATCCAGGCCGCCCCAGCTGTAGGATCTTGGGCAACTTACTTATCTCCTGTGCCTCAGTTTCCTCATCTGTAAAGTGGGAGTAACAGCACCTACCTACCTTGCAAGGATTGAATTATATGCACAAAGTTGTTGAAACAGTGGCAGGCATAGAGGAAACAGTAAATATTCATTTTAGTCCTGAGTCACACTCCTGATAATGTCATTTCACACAGTTGGAATTGGAGGCCTGGGGCTTGCCTGGCATCACACAGCTTATAAGTAGTGAGGTCGGGATGAAACCCAGGCACTCAAACGCCTGCATGACCATAGTAGGTTCTAATCATCTAAAGGGACGCTGTTTCATGGAAGGGCTTACGGTGCAAGACAGACATGCTGGGGCCCCAGAGACCACTTCCCACCTGAGTCAGGGGCTCACCGGCCTCACGACCTGGAATCTCAACTTCTCCACCTGTAATTAGAGGGTGCTACTTCGTGCCAAGGGCTTACTCTGTGACAACCCCACACACTTTTATGTGCCGTGTCTTCACAATTCAATGAGGACGGATCCATTAGGAGCGCAGACTCTGGGGTCAGAGGACTTGGGTTCAAATTATGAACCCACCTGGAGACCCGCCTTGAGACCTTGGTCAAGCCACTAAGCTTCTGTGTATCTGTGTCCTCCTCCCTCAAAAGAGGAGAACAATAATATCTACTTTGTGGACATTATGAGGATTGAGTCAATATATTAGCCCTTAGAATGTGTTTGGCACAAGGTGAAGACATAGAACTAGAAACAGCCATAAACAGGCCAGGCGTGGTGGATCATGCCTGGAACCCCACCCAGGGGTTGTACACTCTGCATTTAAGGCCCACTCAACACCAGCCTTGAATGTCTTAGGAAGACTGTACATTTGATTCTTGAAGCAGTGGGGAGTCACTGTAGGTTCGTTTGCAAGGGCATGACTGAAGTCAAAGCTGTGCTTTCGCTGATGAAGGAAATGTAAATTAGTACTGTCACTATGGAAAATAGTATGAGGATTTCTCAAAAAACCTAGAAATAGAACTACTAGGGAGCAGTGGCTCACGCCTGTAATCCCAGCACTTTGGGAGACCAAGGTGGGTGGATCACCTGAGGTCAGGAGTTTGAGACCAGCCAGACCAACATGGTGAAACCCCATCTCTGCTTTAAAAATACAAAAAATTAGCCGCGTGTGGTGGCGCATGACTGTAATTCCAGCTACTTGGGAGGCTGAGGCAGAAAAATCGCTTGAACCGGGAGGCGGAGGTTGCAGTGAGCTGAGATCATGCCGTTAAACGCCAGCCTGGGTGACAGAGCAAGACTCCATCTCAAAAAAAAAAAAAAGAAAAAAAGAAAAAAGAAAAGAAAAGAAAAAAAAGACATAGCCATAAACAGACAAAAGAAAGTAGCCATTTCACAGGTGGGAATCTGAGGCACAAAGGGTTTGAATGACCTGCCTACAGTCAGCCTGCTCAAAGACGGCAGGAAGGGGCCGCAGACCCCATGTGTGGGGAAGTCTGAACACAGGCACCTCGCTCCTGCACTGTTTCAGGGACCTGTTTCTGGGCACACCCACACATGCCCACAAACGCACATCCCACCTAATTGTCCCAATCGTTCCCAGCGTGGGCCAGAAACAGCTCCTGTGTCTGGCACGTGCCCTTCTCCGGAAGACCCAGATCCTCATCCTGGACGAGGCTACGGCTGCCGTGGACCCGGGCACAGAGCTGCAGATGCAGGCCACACTCGGGAGCTGGTTTGCACAGTGCACTGTGCTGCTCATCGCGCACCGCCTGCGCTCCGTGATGGACTGTGCCCGGTAAGGCCCCCGCCCCGGCCGGCCCTCACTGCAACCCTGCAGCAGTGGGGGAAGTGAGCGGCGGCAGTCCTGGTTAGAGCTGGAAGGGCCCTGAATGGGGCCAGAGTGGGAGCGATGCCCGGGAACACATGCCAAGCGGGAAGGCTGCCCAAGGACATGCGCTCAGCACACGCCTCCAACCCAGTTGTGAGGGCCAGGGAGCTGCACGGAAAGCAGGACTTCTATGGAGAAAACCTCAGTGCAGACACACTGGGCTCTCACAGCTGCCGAGAGCCTGGGCTGGTGTCCAAAGAGCCTCTTTGTCTCCCTCTCCCTCACAGGGTTCTGGTCATGGACAAGGGGCAGGTGGCAGAGAGCGGCAGTCCGGCCCAGCTGCTGGCCCAGAAGGGCCTGTTTTACAGGCTGGCCCAGGAGTCAGGCCTGGTCTGACCCAAGACCCTCACCTGTACCCCCGTCGGGCCAGCCCACAGAGCCTGCAGTGCTGGAGATGGAAGTGACCCGGGGTCATTGATAGCTCCACGTGACGTTCAGTCTAGACCCGTGTTTGCTCTCTGGGAGGAAAATGGCAGAGAAAGTGGCGGATTATCACAGAGCATGAGAGCTGGAAGGACCCAGCAATACACAGGTCTGCCCGGGCAGGACCCAGCTCGCCCTGTCCACCCTGCAGCCCACGTCAACAGTGACTCTCAGCCCAGCTGTACCCTGGACTCACGTCGGGGACTCAAGCACATGCCCAGGCTCCCCGCTAGACCCTTAAATCAGAATCCCTGGGACGGGGGACTGCCATGCTGTGTGTACTTTTTGGAAATTAACACTTTTATTTTGGGATAATCCCAGACTCACATGCAGTTAAAGAAACAATATAGATTCGTGTACCCGCTACCCCGTTTCTCCCAATGGTAACATCTTACAAAACTCTAGTATAGAGCATCACCGCCAGGGCATTGACACTGACACAACAATCTTGCTCGATTTCCCGTTTTACTTGTACTCATGTGTGTGTTTATTTTGTCCCGTGCAGTTTTATCACACATGCAGGCTCATGAATCCACACTATGGTGAGGATACGGAATAGCCATAGCCACCACCATTTTCTGACCACACCTCGGCCTCCCAAAGTGCTGGGATTACAGGCGTCAGCCACCACGCCCAGCCTCCTCACACCTGTTTCTGACAGTGGTCAGACTATTAATGCTGGACTCACCAAACCAGCTTCAGGCACCAGAAAAGAGAAACTAAGTCTAAAGTAGCTCAGCTTAAGGCCACACATAGATCGCTGGGAAGGGCAGCGTGAGACATCAGACACCTCCCTTGATCCTAACTTTATGCTCGCCAGGGAATCTCAGCAGCAAGGATAACATAATACGTGGATATGTGTTCGTGGAAGCAGAGACGGCAGTCCCCCAGGCTTTCTGAACCTTACTGACATGTGGGGCCAGACAGTGCTGTGCTGTGGGGACATGTCCTGCACATCGTAGGACACTCAGCAGCGGCCCTGGTCTCTTCTTCACTAGATGCCAGTAACATCCTCCCTCTACCACCACCAGACTTGTGACAAAGTATCTTCAGACACTGCCATACGTCCCCGGAGGGGTCAAACCACCTGGTTGGGCCGGGCGCGGTGGCTCATGTCTGTAATCCCAGCGCTTTGGGAGGCCGAGGCAGGCGAATCACTTGAGGTCAGGAGTTCCAAACCAGCCTGGCCAACATGGTGAAACCCTGGCTCTACCAAACATACAAAAATTAGCCGGGCGTGGTGGTGGGCGCCTATTATCCCAGCTATTCTGGAGGCTGAGGCAGAAGAATCGCTTGAACCCAGGCAGAGAAGGTTGCAATGAGCCGAGATCACACCACTGTACTCCAGCCTGGGTGACAGAGCGAGACTGTCTGTAAAAACCCCAAACAAAAAGACCCACTTGGTTGAAAATCCCTGGTCTAACCTGCCCCGCTGCCATCCATCATCCACAGATACTCGGGCAGTGGCTTTGCCGGTGTCAAGGGTGACAGGGAAAGACTCCACATATTCTTAAGGACACAGGGCCAGCTCTGCCTATCAGGTCATCGGACTTTCTGATGCCCATCCTGACAGAGGGTTTTGTGATACCCCTTTTGGCCTGGAGCAAACCAAATCTAGATCTAATTGCAGCTTCTACCACCTTCAATGTGAGGCAGGGAGTCCGCAGTCTTCGCCTGCCCCTAGTCATGCCTGCAGCGCTGTGGACCCACTACCTCTGTCTAGCTCCATTTCACAGCTGAGGAAACTGAGGCTCAAGGGCTTGACATGACTTGCCAAGGTGACCCAGTAAGGACAGAGTGGGGATCTACTTCTGGGTCTAATACCAAAGTCACTGCACAGGCACCTTTGTCCTTTAGAGAATGGAAGGGCAGAGGCAGCCCGTCTTTTCTCTGCCTGGCACTGAGCCACCTGACTGCCTTGCAGAGTGACCCCAGGCACTCTGTCACGTGGACATTTGGCAAACTCAGCCTGGGATGACCCAGGGCCACCAGATCCTCCTTCCTAGGCTGCGTGCCAGGCAGCAGAGGGTGGACCACAGGCGGCCGGCACGTGGGAACCAGCACCTGCCAGCCTGCTCATGAGGCTGCTGTTGGGCCCATACCACGGCAGCCTGGAGACGTGCCAGCTCTTCTCTGAGCATCTTTGTACACCACAGTCTCTAGGGCAAGCCAACAATTTCAATCAGGGGACACGAAGGCTTGAGGGAACAATGGCAGTGCTGGAATGTTCCATCTGCTCATGTACTTGGTGCATGGTTTTAAGTGTGGCAGAAATGGTGTGCTCCCCAAATACAGACATTCCTTACAGCCCAGACGCACTCAGTTCAAAGTTAGAAACCAAACACTCTAGTCTGACTACTCCGCTGTCCCAAACTCGGGAACCACATGAGATAGGAAAGGGAGAAATACTTCTCTTCCACAGGCACCCCTCCATTTCCCAGCTCCCGCAGTGGCTGGGTTGGGGCCATGTGACTCGTTTTGGCCAACAGGCTGTGAGTGGGATTGACTGCGTCAGTTCTGGTTTCAGAAGAGTGGTGAGAGTCGTCCACTCTCTCACCACAGTGGAAAGAGTGGGTGAGAGTCGTCCACTCTCCCTTCTCCCGCTGTGGGGACCTGGAAGCCAGCCCTTGAGAGGCCATGTGATAAAACCAGGACGGCCTGGATCACTTGTCACAGGGAAGTCGGCTACCCTAGAGAGGCAGCTGACCCTCATCAAGAACTGCATGAGCAAGAAATAAAGCCTTGTGATCATTTCCCAAGATTTTATGGTGAATTTGTTACTGCAGCACAGCCTTGCCTCTCTGGACTAACATAAAGGGATTTTCAGGCCAGGTGCCTGAATCCCAGCACTTTGGGAGGCTCAGGCAGGAGAATCCCTTGAGCTCAAGAGTTTAAGAACAACCTGGGTAACATAGCAAGACCTTGTCTCTATAAAAAATTAAAAAAATTAGCTGGGCATGGTGGCACATGCCTGAGGCCGAGGCAGGAAGATTGCTTGAGCCCAGGAGTTTGAGGCTGCAGTGAGCTAGGACTGTGCCACTGCACACCAGCCTGGGCAACAGAGTGAGACCCTGTCTCTGTGGGGGGAGGGCGGAAAAAAGGCAGGGGGAGGGCAGGATTTTCAAGGATCATTCTGGCCACATGTGATTTCTGCCTCGCCTGTGTCTTAGAACTTGACCGAGGCTACAAGTACCACACACATCGCTGCTCACAGGGTACGTACGATTAGCCTCATCTTACAGACAAAGCAAGTGAGGCACAGAGGCTGAGTGACTTTCCCAGGGTCATCAGAACAGCGAATGACAAGAGCAGGACTCAAGCCAGGATCTATCTGACCCCAAAGCCGGGACTCCGTCCACCTTGCGGCTGTCCCGCCTTCCCACTAAACCCCATCCGACTAGTGATGTCCAGGACTTGCCCTTTCTCGCAACAGCTCCCACTAGAGGCAACCTGTCAAAAGGAAAGAACAGAAACAGGAGGATGCCAGATCCTGACCGTGCAGGAGATGGCTGGAACCCTCGCTGAGGCCCCAAAGGAAAGGGAACTACTGTTTAGAAAGAAATAAAATATATAGATATATATATATTTTTTTACTGCAAATGTTCACATTTCCAGTTTAAGTCATTACAAAAGGATCCCCCAAAACTTGGTTTATCTAATGCGAAAGAATGGTATAACTTACAAAAAATAAATATATGTGTTTTCACCTAAAAGAAAGATGCTCTCTGGGTTTGAAGTCGGCGATGTAATTCTTAGCAAGTATGAGTCCTGGGGCAGCCATCAGCTCTGGCTGCTTTCTGGATTTCACTTTGGGCTCCAACGGAGATACATTAAAGAATAGGCTTCAAAAGATGCTGCTTCTCCGTTTTCTTCCAGGAATAGAGAGACCAAAACGGTCAAACACAGGGCGAGCTCCTCAGTATTTCCTGGGAATGTGACTTCTCAGCCCAACACTTCTCTTCCCAAAAAGTTCAAGTTTTGAGACAGTTTTTCTCCCTGGAACAGTACTTAAAGAAAAAAAAAAAATCACTGATAGTCAAAGATGGGTTCCTTTCGTGTCCTGGAAGAGCATCAATAACTAAACGTCAAGTTCTCCACAATGCTGCCCCCCCGGGGGACTCACCGGATGCCAAGGGAGAGAATTAAAGTCTAAAAAAAAGGAAAAGACTTCAAGGGGACGTTTTTTGGTACCCATTGGTAATACTTGGGAGGTACTTCGTGTTCTTTACTTTGAAAGCTTCATAACCATGAGCAGGTACCATGAGAGGGAAAGCAAAGAGGCGGTAAGAAAAAAGAAGAAAAGCAATCAACACTGTAAGCAACCAACAGTGCTTCAGGCAAGGCCCCTAACACGTTTTCTGCTAGGACTGGTCAGCAGCCGTTCAGCTGGCTGCTCTCTCTCCATCTCTATTTCTAGTCAATGTCAAATTCCCATGAGGCCATCTCCTTAATATTACCCCCCATCAGTCACGGTGGGAACAGTAATAATGGCGTTGATTGTTCTTACAATGTTGAGCAAAAGAAAAAAGCAAGGGAAAGTCTGGAGTGGGGGTGAGTGGGGAGGGGAACCCCAGGTGGAACGTTGGCCCTACGAGACAATCCCCTGGCCCTGCAGTTCCAGGTCCAGGTTATCCGTTAGTCCAACCAGGTCCCTTCCAGGAGGACAGGCTTAGGAGCGCAGAGGCTGCCTCTGGCCTGAAGCAAGAACTGGCAGAGCTGGTGCTGCGATGCTGGTTCCCAGCTTCTGAGTGCCTGGAAGACCAGATGTTGGTAAGAGGACCATGCAGGGCCCTGGGACACTGCCAAAGGGAGGGAATGATGTTCTCCAGGCCCCTCAACCTCAAAACTGAAGCCCCAAGGAAATGAAGCATTCCGGGTGGACCCAGACAAGGATGTTAGAGGTGATGGGAGCCACAGGCATCTCAAAGACTTGCAGTCCATAGACTTCGGCTAGAGAGATCCGAGGCAGCTGGCTGGATTTGGTCACTAGGATCTTCTATACAACCAATTCCTTCAGAAGTCTGGCTGCCAAAATTCGTCTGTGGGAAGCACCAGGAACACACTTGCATTCCCGGGGGCATGAGGCTGTGTGTGTGTCTCAGGGCACCAGGGGCAAGGGCGAGCATGTTTTGGGCAGCTTGCCTCTCTGTGTCTGTCCCGTGTCTTCACGGCCAGTTCCAGGCAGGGGACGGGATGGCGATGGCTGCTGCTTTGAGTATGTTTTGGTTGTCTGGGTTTGGTTTTTATTTTTTGGTTTCAGTGTGGGAGGCTTGGTTTCCCAGGGGTACTGACTCCTGCCTGGGCGCTGGCATGTAGGCCCTGCAGTTCTGACCAGATATGCCACCTCTGCGGCTCACACCAGGCCGGCGTCTTTGGCCATGTTGTAGAAGAGACCTCTCTGCTGCAGGAGGTCCGACGGGGCGCCGTACTCCTGGATTTCTCCTTTGTCCAAGACGATCACCCTGTAGCGGGAG